GCAGGAATGGACTTTCAGGTTTCTGGCTGAGGTGATGGTAGAAATAATGATACTTGAGGAGAAGCATATTAGTAGAGAACAAAAGGGGAAAGAATTTGCTTTCAATTGTTGACGTGTTGAGTTTGAGGTGCCTTTGAGAGTTAGGTTGAATATAGTAGTCTAGAGCATCTTGTCCAGTATACTTGTCAAATATAGTGTGACTTACATACACAATTTAAAATTTTCTAGTGCCCACATTTTAAAAAGTAAAAAGAAATAGATGAAATTAGTGTTAACAGGATGTCTCTTTGTTCTACTAAGGCTTTGACATCTGGTATGTATTTTGTATTTCACAGTGTGTCTCAATTTGGACCAGTCACATTTTTTTTTTTTTTTCCTAAAAGATGACCGGGAAGGGGATCTTAACCCTTGACTTGGTGTTGTCAGCACCACGCTCAGCCAGTGAGCTAACCAGCCATCCCTATATGGGATCCGAACCCGGGGCCTTGGTGTTATCAGCACCGCACTCTCCCGAGTGAGCCACGGGCCAGCCCTGGACCAGTCACATTTTAATTGTCCAGTAGCTATCATGGGACAGCACAGTGCCAGACCTAAGGAATTCAGTCTAGGCTGCAGATAGAGAATTATGAATCAATAGTCATAAACCTGCAAACTAAAGTCATGAGAGTAAATGAGATCAGCAATGTGTAGGGTCAAAGAAAGAGAATATTGATATTTAAGGGATAGACAGAAAAAGAATAACTAACAAAAGGAAGTGAAAAACATTGGTGATTCTAGTACTCATCAGAGAATCCTGTCATGGGTAGTCCAAAATCCAACACTTCTCATATTTGGATGAAATTTGTTAGTTGTGGGTAAAAAATGGTAAGGGAATTTGTTCATTTTCCATTTCTCTTAAGTTTACTAGGCTCTACTTTAAGTTTGTTCAGCAGAAAGCAGCATATCTTGGGTCTGTTTTTGTAGTTTTCATGCACAAGCTGCTTTGTTGAATTATGATTATGATTTAATGATGTAGCTTTAATTTTATCCATTATCATTATGTTAAAATGTTCCTTATATGTGTCTCTTATCTTTTGCAAAGCTGTTGTCTATATATATAACATGTTTGTTATTACAGATCAATCTCAACGAGGTAGCCTCTTCACTCTCTTTTTGAACAATCCTCTAATGGCCTTCCTATTTGTCTCTGGATTGTCAAGCATGCGTAGAGGCCTATGGGAAAAATGTCAAGAATATCTTCGAAAAATCAACCGTGATATTGCCCAGCTACTGACCCATTCACGTTCAATAGGTACCCTACTAATCTAACTGCACACTTAACAGAATGTACTATAATGGCTTAAAATGGTTACTTACTTTAAATTATTTGAATTTTTAAAGGTATTTGTCCCAGGCAGGAAAGTAGAGAAGGCTTTCCTAAAGTTTTCTTCCCCTTTGAAATGTAATTTCCATTTAAACATCCTTTTACTGTCACCTTTTTCCTCTTTCAGATCAAGCATTTCTCCAGTTTTTTGGAGATGAATTTCTTCGCTTGCTTCTCACAAGATTTATCTTTTGTTCAGCAACTATGAGGATGCACAAGATTTTTCGGGTAGGCAAAGAATATTATTAAAGACCAATTTTACCATTTTAGGTATTTAAGAATCAAGTATTATATTTTGCCTATATTGAATAAAATTTGAATGGATCCAAAATAATATTTACAAATGAATATGATTAACAATACTAAAGCACATCTCAGTGCCTGTCACCCCTTTTAAGAAGTAGAACCTTTTTATTATCTTTGCAGCCCTCTACGGGTCCTTCCTCATCCTGTCTCCCTCTCAAATGAAATTGACATCCTGAATTTTTTGATTATCATTAGCTCTTCTTTATTGTTTTGCCATATGTATTTGTATTTCTACACAGTGTAATGATGGGTCCATATTGTATGTATTCTTCTACAACCTGTTTTTTTTTTTAATTTTTTTTTAAAAGATGACCAGTAATGA